TGAGCGAGCGGCTGCGTGGGGCTTAGTTGCCAACTGAGGTTAAACCACGACAGCAGTAAACTAACCCTACAAAAGTAGTCATTCTTTCTCTTCCCATTTATTTCTCTGAAGTAGTTTATCAGCAGTCCAGGAAAGAGATGGGTCAGTAACACAGCCTGCGGAGCACTGGACTAGATCTGCTGTGGCTGTTATTATGGCTTAGTGAATACACAGCTACTCATTAGGATGTTGCAATTCAAGCGTGCCACTCAACTATAACTTGCAATTAAGGAAATGTATCCACTATTGCAAACAAAGACATCCAAAATACTGCAGCAGCAGCAGTCTGGTTTTCCACACCAGACTCAGTGTGGGTGTGGCAAGTGAAAATAAGTCCCTAAATAACTGGAGGAAAACTGCTTTAATTTATGTGGTAACTTTAAATGTTAGTTTCAGGTTTGTGCAACGCACTAGACACAACTGAAAGTCTTTTGAAGAGATTACTACAAAGCATCTATCAGTGCTTTTGCTATACCTCAATAATATTCTGATATATGCTAATATCTTGGAAGAAGTGGGACATTGATGCTCTTTGAACGTACATATGAAATGAAAACCAAGTAACTGCGGGTTGTCTCAAAATAGGGTGATTGGACTGGTCCCACAATAAGCAAGAAGGGAATTTCCTTCAACAAAAGAATGGAGGCTTTACAGAATTAGCCAAGTCTATAGGCAATCACATAGGGGATTTTTGCATTTGGCTGTTATTACAGCATGTTTACTTGTGCGTTTGGTCAATATTGCAAAACTATTGCATAGTTTGGAGAGAAAAAGAAAATATTTTAATGGTCAGCAGAGTGAAATGAATACTTGGGAATTCATTGGGATATGAATGGAACTGAATCTTTCAGTTGGGAAAGATTCTCATACCTTCTTCTTTCAGGATTGACCTACCAATGTTTAAAATGCCTTGTGAAAAAGAAAAAAAAACCCAACTTTATTTTTGCAGCTGTAATGTCACAAGGACAGTATTGTCTGGTAGCTTAGTAATACAGAACTCTCTAAAAAAGGCACCACCCAAGTGGAACTCCTTCCAGTGCGTTACATGTATAGGGTGGTCCAGTCACTACTTGAGAGAATGGGAAGAGCTGGTCTCAGGTGGAGCACGAATTTTGTAATCAGAAGAGACAATGTTTACCTGAAGTAGTGTATTAGGAACAGGACTTTTAAAGATCAGCTTGGGAGTCAATCAGAAAAGCTACCAGCAATTTTCTCACTACACAAATGCAAACAGGCAGACCTGAGCCAGAGTACGGAAATACTATTAGGGATTATTTGCAAACATTGCCATAAGCAGGAAT